GACAGGTAGGAATGGGAAAATGCCACCAGAGCAGAGGGCATAGATATTTGAGTCCCCCAAATAATGCTGAGGGTTGGATAAGCAGCAGAAACACCTTGAACTGGGCATGGAATCAAATATCAGCATATGAAACTCCAGCTGTTAATTATATGCCAGGAATCTTTTTCAAATTCTTGACAATGAATGACAAAACTATAGTCAGAAGACACCAGCAGGATCCAAACACCTGTTGGCACATTTGGATGTGTATACAATCCATGTATCTCCAAATTTGAATGGCAAATTTATTGGAAACAGTCTCTAATTACAAGTTAGGTATAATGTTAGAATTATAAAGAAGTTGACAAATGACTCATATTAAGTTTGATAAGTGTTTAAGATTTATGGATGAAATTGAGATAAAAGTTCTGAAATAGAAATGGAATGGATAATTTATGAGAACACCTCAGAGAGCCGCCCCCCTCCCTTCACATGAAAATAAAAAAAGGAGGAAGGGAAGGACATTGTTACTATATCTGTTCTAATAAAAGTAACTTTAGGCCTGCACGGTATCTTGTCTATCTGATAGGGCTGACAGTAATACAATCAATTGACTGGATTATGTTAAAATGTAACAAAAGTTATGTTGTGGTATCTTCCCTGCATTCCAAGGGATTGTTTTCAAGGCAGAAAATATACATCAAAATAACTTCCACCAAGTTGAAATGTCTGTATGTCTTTGTCTTTAATGAGTAACCTTCAGCAGGTATCTTATCTTTCTTTTCTATCATTTAAGTTAATATTTTGTTATAGTGTTCAGATTTCTTTTAATTGATGACATATAAACATATAAATCCTACATGCATGAATGTCATATTTTAGCAGCTATTAATCTAATATAAGAGAAATTAGGTTCTTTCTAGACAGCAGTATAGAAAGAGCAGCTGTGCATTAATTTATTGAATCAAATGCAATGTTACATAATAATAAATAATGTAATTACTTAATAGTACATAATAAATTCTCCATTCTATTTTTTATTTTTGTTTAATTTCTCTGGCTTCTATCAAAATTGCCATTTTAAATATCTTTAGTTAGATCTGAATGTTTTGTTTGCTTTTAATTGATGTGCTGACCATTGGGTGACATCTGCACCATAAGCAGAAGGGTTCATAATAGCAATGAAAACTGAAGTTTCCAATGACTTAAGAGAAATGCTTTTAAAACTGTTCAACTAAGGATGTGCTTTCTAGCCACTGCAAAGGCAGTTTGCAGTTTGTCTACCTGGAAATCTGAGTCAAAGAGGTGGAGCATACAAGGGAAAGAATATCTTATCAAAGGAACCTCACATAGAACAAGAAGCTGCTGGTTTGATAGGCAGGTGAACTTAAGAAAACATTGCAGTTGCTCTGTCTAAATTCTTTCTCCACTTGTAGAGTACGCTGGCACTAGAACACCCCAGGAGCCCCAATGTTCCTTCCCTTATTGTCACAGGGCACAATGATGCCTCATTGGGCAACACTGGGAACTAAAGAGCGCTGCTGCATTCTTTAAAAACAAAATAAAGCAACAGCAAAAGCACAAATAAACCAAAAGGCAGCCACAGAGACTGGAAGGACAAGAGCTTCTTAACCCCTTTCATTTGCACTCTCCAGCTGGAAAATTCTCCTCCTCCAAGGTTTTGTTACATTTTGCTTTTTTTCTGACCATTCTTTGGAGGGGCTGCCTTTTCAGTTTTTCATAGTTTGTTCTATTCTATTTTACTGCTTTAAAAATTGTGCATTGCTTTGTAGGCTGAAAAAGTGATTAAATGTATTATCATCACCACCACCTCCACCACCAGTAATAGCACGTCTTTCCCTAGCTGTTTTTCTGGTAAAACCTCTTCATCAATTGATTTTGTCCTTGCTGGTGGATAACATACAGGTATCATGACGTTTGGCATTACAGACCCATGCTTTCTCCAGAGCAGTTCTTTGATATGACTCTAAGGGTTTTGGGTTTCATTATTTATTTCATTGCTTATGCAATATTTTTGTCTAATGGCTCTGCTGGCTTTAATAACTTTATGATAGTAGCTATTTTTTTTTCTATTTTCTGTGATCATGTACAGTTTTAGGATGGCTTTGTAACAGATTACACTGAAATTTCGATAGTGAATGGGTACCTCTTCAGTAGCACAAGGACTCTAAAAGGTGGCTGATGCTGCCCCTTCTCATCCTTTCCCTCCTTCTTCACAAAAACAAGGAGGAGGAGATGGGCAATTGGTGGGATATACCCTTTTGGCTGAAGATGTTAAAGCAGAGGATAAAAGAAGCCCCTGTGGGAAGTGTCAGTGCCATGAAAACTATCCCATGGAGACAGAAAAGGAGAGAGAGACAGAGAAAGGGAGAGAGTGGGGAGGGGCAGTTCATGTATAAAGTGCTGATCGGTAGAAGTTTTGCTTTTTGCTCTTTGGTAGTCAGTGTTCTTTGATTTCCCCCCCTGCAAACTCATATAATTTGAATGTGCAGCCTGAACAGTGGTTCATGATAGTCCATAAGAAATACCTAATATTTATCTTAATTCTTGGAATAGCTACATTTTTAAATCTCTGTCTGCCTGTCTTGCCTGTTCTAGGAATGTGATTCTGTGGCTGTAAGATGGGCCGTCTGAATAATTGAGGCTATGAGAAGGTTCCATCTTCCCCAGAGTTTGAACGCAAAAGCAAACATTTCCAGTCCATGGTTTAAAACGACCTCTACATTTTCTTGTCATGGGCAAAAGAATGCACAGCACTGTGACACTGAGGATAACATAGTTAATGCTGAAGGTTTTCAACTAATGCACAAGATGGCATGAGATGCAAGAGACAAAGATGCTTCATTCGGAAAATTATTGGTGATTGAGCAGAATTGGTCTCTATAGCCATTAAAGGTTTCGCTGCTGTACCTACAAAACACCTCTGAGGAAAATTTTCTCAAGACTCTAGAACAGGGATCCCCAAAGTGGTTAATATTGACCCCCAAGGGTCAATGGGACTATCCATCATTGTTGTCATTGTTATTTGTAGCACTTGTAGTTAAAGTAGTATTTATTAAATTATTTTCAAATAAGAAATGTTTGTGGGTCAATGAACAGTCTGAAACTTTATGAAGGGATCAATGAGCTGGAGAGTGTGGGGATCCCTGCTCTAGAACTTTATATTTAGGAATAGAAAGATTACAGGTCTGGACACAATAAACACCGCTGCACATGGTGCTTTATGGAAATGGCAACCAATCATGAAGGCCCCTCCATCTCACAGCCACAAAAACATGTCATGTGGCATGTTGCCCCTGAACTTTGTCGGTTGGAAGGACAGCTTGATACCAGCTGCTAACCTGTCCCTTCTTTCTAGCAAGTTCCAGAAATAGCCACATCTCACTGCAGAAACCTGCACAGGCTGGGCTGTGTATAGCCTTTCACAGAAGGGAGGTAGTAGATATTCTTATGCATTTTTAGATATAAGGGCTATTGTTAGATTAGCAGGACTTTTGTTGGGTTTCCTGTGAGCATACCTTAAATAAAGCTCTTGGGGAGTGGCAGCACAAGAGGATTGTGTCTTTCCAAACCAGATAATCTCTTAAGCAAATACAGCAGGGCTCCTCTTTCATATTTATTTTTTGGTATCAGTTTTCTAAGCTCTTATTATTTGGGTGAAATTGACAGAATTGCATACTCTTTCTGATTTTTCCCTCTCCTATGGCTTTATTTCTCCTTGAGATGATCACTATATTGGCACAATTTCTATTTTTAAAGACGTGCATTTATTTTGAATTTTGCATAGTTTGTAAAGGGAAGTATGATTCAGACAATTTTCTTCCCCACCCCCACCCCCCAACAAATTTTTCCAGATGTCAGGCTAAGAATGTTCAGTTTGTACCAGGGATCTATAATTGTAGCACTGTTGTTTCCAGAACAGCTTGGGGTGGGGAAAGCTTCTCAGCAAATTCATCTTGTGGAAGGGCTGTAGTGCTGTAAAAACATTGAGGTCACTTGTCTGGCAGAGTTTAATGTTTTTAAAACCTAATGATTTTAAATCCAGAGGTCCACATATGCCTGGATGTTTCCTGATGATTTTAATGTGCTTAATTTTGCCTAGCTTATCTTCTGAAAATGCTTCTTTACTGCCTACGTTCCTGTAAGTTTAATTTAATGAAGTACTGTAGAAAGAATGATTCTATCCAGAATCAGAAATAACTCTTCCTCCTCCTCCTCCCCCTCTTCTTTCTTCTCAGTTAAAATGTGCTACTGTACTTACAGCTGTCTATCTTGCTGATTATTATATCATTTTAGGATAAAAACTTTTCATGAACTATATTTCATTTGTAAGGTTTGTGTGCAAATATTGTTTAAAAATCTAACTTGCTTTTATAATTTAAAAAAAAACTCTTTCTATAGCATAAAAATAAAGATAAGAAAATGAAATATAATATAGCTAGGCACTAAGTCTTGATCACTCAAATGTCTGAGACTATATCATTAAAAAAGGCCCTTTTCACTAGTTGTAGCATGTGTGGGTCTTTCATACTGTGGCCTACAAAATGGAAGAAAACTATTAGTGAATTTCCAACAATGAAGGCTTTAAAAGTTCATTATAATTTAATGTAAATGCAATCTGACTTAAGATGTGTGTTGGGGTGTGTGTATGCGCGTGCGCACATATAAAAATATCTATATCTAAATATCTAAAACATCAGCCAAATACAAGAGTAGATTTCCCTCTTTTTAGGCTGTTGGATTTCAACTCCCATAATTCCCAGTCTGCTCGTGGTTGGAAATTATGGGAGTTGATTCAACTCTTTCGTAGGGTACCAGGGTGGAAAAGTGCTAGCAACAATAAGTTGTTCTTGAAAGAAGGGTCAGTTGATTGTTCTTGAAAATAAGAATGGTGAACTGAATAGATTTTGAGAAGAGTTTTTATTATTCATGTGATGTTCTTATGAGACTTTTAAAAGAAGCAGCAAAAGTTCAGTTAAAAAAAAGTTGGACACCAAAAAAGCAGTGTAATTTGTTTTATTTATTCATTTATTTATTCAAGACTATTCACTGATGGTCTGGAAAATGGAGCCTTTTTATAACAAAGGTTTCAAGAAGGAAATTTCCCCACAATTTTAGCTGTCAGCCTTGTTGATAATGGTTCATACTAGTTGGGTGCATTGTTTTTTATATACATATTATCTTCATAGAAAAAAAATAAAAGAATGGTCTTGTGAACACATTTGCTTGGGGCCTTTTTGAGAGCTTCCTTAAAGATCTTTCAGAAAGATCTGAAAACATAGAACAAACATTTTGACCAGTAATATTGTGATTTTAGCTATTTCCAGCTGACAAGGGAACACTCATTTTAAAATCCCTCCATAGTAGGATAAAATAGTGAAATTCATTTCCTTGCATGTCAAGATCTGTGGTTTTAGAATACAGAGAAAAAATATTAAAATTCAAAAATAAAAAATAAAAAATAAATTCCAGTGGCTGAGAGTGGATATAGAGAAGACCTTGATGCCATGCTTTTTTCTGCATCTTATTGGTACTCTCCCTGAAGGTCCCTAGAATCAAAAGAAAACAAAAAGTTAAGGACAAATATATTGTTAAGAACATTGATATAATTGCTGTGGAGGGATAGATACAGCTTTTCGATTAAAATCTAGTAGTTCATATAACTTTTTATTATAAGATTGTAGTGGTTTCTTCAATTTTGTATGCCTACAATTGCCCAACCTTATTTGAATTCTAAAAATAATGTGTGCAATCCAGCCAAAGTTAAGTCCTACTTACAGCTGTTAGGCTGTAATCTTGTATAATTTTTATCCATAGTTATGTTGCTGGTGGTAGTAGCAAATAATTAGGACCGAGCAAATTCCAGTTTGAAGTACCAACTGAAATTGATCACCGCAAGGTTCAAAACAGCAAAAAAAAAAAAAAAAAACTTAATCAAAAAGCATGTAGCAAATGTAAAGAATCCTCTGCTATCAGGGTGATTCCTTTAAAAGGATAATTAAAAAGTCACAGAAAATAAGTTTATTAACAGCCCCAAGGCTCTGGCAGCGTGGCTCTAGTTACAAGGGAACAATAACAAAAATAGCTATTGTTTGGAAGCCTAGCTGTGGACTTCCAGAGGCATTTGATTGGTTACCCGCTCCTGCTCTATACGTGAGGCTAAATGAGTGGACTAAGGGATGCATGCGTTCGGCGTGTAAAAATGTAGATTGGTGGATGGATGTGAATGCAGTCTTGGTCCCCCTACTGATGACATATCTTCCCTGAAAGATAAACCATGAGGAAAAGCTTCTCTTGGCTGAAAAAGGAGTGTACTCTGGTTCTACCTAATGATAAGACTGGTATTATCATCTTCTAGGAATCTGAGATCAAATATCTATTCAGGCCAAATTTCCATTCAGTGATGAAGATCACTCTGTGACTTTGGGCCACTTAGTAGCTTTCAGCCTAACCTATATACAGGACTGTTGTGAAGATAATATGGGGAGTGGGAAATATAGGCCACCATGACTTAATAGGAAAAAAATGAGATATCAGTATAATAAATATGCACAGAATATCTGGGAGCATTCTTGATGGTTTCTTCGTTGTTTTCTTTCTGCCAGAAACTCTTACCACAGCCTTTTCATGAAAAAATAAGAAAACTGCTTTTTTATGTACATTTAAAAAAATGGTTGGTTTGCATAAACCAGACTGTAGCTTGGAGCTACTGATAGAAGAAAACACACGGAGTCCAGATGAGGTTCTGGAGAATAGCTGTGCTCTTCTTAAAATAGCAATTTTAAAGAATAAGAGCCATCAGTTCAGGGGTATCGGGATGGGAGTGAGAACAGGATAAAAAAAAGAAATCAAGATGGGAACTTCAATAGTGCTGTTGTGGCTACCATGCTGAGGTTTTTTTTTTCTTCCCTCGTGGATGCCCCTGCCCCTGGGATCACAACTTTCTAATGCAATACAGGTACATGGGAGTGGATCCTATTTTATTATTTATTTATTTAAATGATTTATATGGCCACCCATCTTACAAACATGATTCTGGATAGGGTAACTATACTATATTCGCTAACAGTACTAAGAAAGTATTATAAAGCAATACTAGCGAAGTGGAAACAAGTGACGTTTTTCTCTCCACCATGAGGCAACCTAAGAACAGCTATTAGCCAAAATTAGCCAAAATTCAGGCACCTCTGGGTCACTTTTTGGTTAATCAGCCACTTCAAGAATTCTTGGGTAGCCATGTCATCCAGGAGTTTGTTGTAATCACTGGTGAAAGTGCCATCTGCATGTCTTCGACCAAGATCTTCACCTGTATGAGCTCCTTCTGAGAAACTTAAGAGGGAAAAATGGACAAATAATATCTTTACAGGTTATAAAAAAATAGATGTCAACGGTCCACAGCAGAAGTATATAGGACTGGGTTTTGTATCTTCTTAACGACCACCCTCCAGTAAAATAATCCCTGGATTACTATTTCATGTATCAAAATCTGTTTCTTTTTAAAATGTATAACGAATAAAGAGAAATGTTGCATGCACTTCAATCAAAATTAAGCTCTTTTAAAGTCCAGCTGATTTCACAGTACAGATTAAAGCTCATGCCCAGCTATTTCATCCAAATGAAAATATTTTTGCTTCAACTAAATCACATTCAGAAGAACTGCTAAATTATATCAAATCCCCCCTGTGGAGATTTGTATTCCCATTCTTAACTAGAGAAAGAGATCAGTGACATTGTTAACTCCAATGCATCCCACGTTCTTCTTCCTGTTGGCTGACCTGGGGAACACTCAGCCCATAGGCCCTCCTTTAAATTGGAATAAATAGTTTATAGATTGTGCTCTGTGCTCAAGACATAATCATTGAGAGAGGACATTCTGTACTAATCCATTAACACCTAGGGAAATTTGTTGCTGAATACTTTAAAAAATGTTGCTGCATTCTCTGAGATCTGTCTTCCCAGAGGACAAGGTTATTGTTCTTATCAGTGAAGACCTTCTATGTGATATAAGAAAGCTTGAACTTTTTAATTATCATTGCACAATAATATTTCTCAGAATCATATGTCCCATGTGATACCAGGAATTGCACCAGAATTAATATTTTATGACAAAAGTTCCAAATTCCTTGCTTATACTTTTAATCAAGGTCAGTAACAGAAAAGATACTTTATCAGTCTGACAGTTTCAGCGTTACTATTGGAAGTGGTAATTATAGTAAACAAGCTGTGACCAAAATACTCTAATCAAATATTCTTCCATCTGAGCCAAAGATTCCATTCATCAACGTATTTTCCAACTCCAGATTAAAAACAGAAGATGGGGAAGGAGGAAAGATGTAGATCTATCTTGCTATTAGCAAAATCAGAAGGTGCTAATACCTTTGCTGAGAATTTGTAATATGCTGCTATATTGTTTCCTAAATACTTTTGAAGATTTGTAAGATAAATATAAGAAGAAAAAACCTGATTCTCTTTTATGAGCCTGGAGAGTTTCTTTTAACAGGCATATAAATGGAATACACAGCTATTTGTGTATTCATCAGATTTATATCTTAGATTTCATTAATGCAGAGGAACGAAATTAATTTCAGAGATTTGCCAAGCTGTCTTGAACTTATGTGAATTAAGCATATTGTATACATACAAATAGTGCAAAAGAAGCCAATACTAGTAATAGTAGTACTAGTAATAATACATGTGGCAGAGATCAAACTCTTTCCCCCTAGGACAAGGAGTGAGGAAAGCTTTGTATTCCCAGTGTTCTCTTAGTTCCTCTGTTAAAAATCACTACTTTCTTTTAACAAAAAAGGTTCATTATAATCATTTATGTGCAACACTTAGTTGTTCTCTCAGGGATGTGTCCCTAAGGAAGATCAAAAGTAACGAAGTGCAAAGAAGGGTGTACTGTAATTGCCTTCCAGTTCTTTATTAGATCAAGGGGATTGATTTCTCATATCTAGCCAAATAAAGCAACAAAATGTCTAACCTTTGCTGATGCTTACAAAACTGCTTCTTCGCTTTTAATAAAAAACAAAGGCATTTGGAGCCACTATCCTTCTCCTCCAACCTTATTCTAAGAAATGTTCTCAAAGGATGCCCACTGGGGTATCCTAACCAGATGTTTCAGAAATATCTTTTCTCGGCTTTACTCCTTAATTTCCACACACATAGTTGACTCTCAGAACTTATTTTATTATGATGATGATGGCAATAATAATAAAAATTTATAGAGTGCCAATGACATACATGGTACTTTTACAGTTGGCAATGTAGAAATGGAGAACTGAGTTCAAGGGAGAAAGAACGTGAAGCCTTGCTCCAGAGAGCTCACAGTCTAAAGGTGTAAAGTACAATGATGAGTTGACCTTCAATGGCCAGGTCCTTTAAGCAAGGGTGTATGTATGTGTGCGAGGACTGTGGTGAGTGAGATTGGTGGGGTGCAGGGATTGAAGCCAGAAAAATGTTGTTCCAAATGTACAGTTGCCAAGAAAGATCGATTAAAGTCAGCAGTGGGTATAACAATCCAAGGAGCAAAAAGAAGGGGAGGTTGTTTTCATGAAAATGGTGAGAACAGGATGTAGGTGGTTACTGATGGAGTACAGGTTACTGACAGAGGTGTTGGCAGTCTAAAGTTATGGGATGCTTTGAGGCTGGGTAGGGGTAAATATTCAATATATTGCAGAATGAGAGTGGGAAGGTAAAAAGAAAACATTAAAAGGAGTGGAAAGAGACTGACAGTGTGCTAATGAGCTTAACAGCAACTTCTTGAGGGTATTGGGGGGAAAGAAGAAGCAGCTCAGGGAGGAGGAATCTGCACAAACTTTGGGAAACAAACAAAAAACATTGGGAAAAGCAGAATGCTGGAAAGTAAATAAAGATCTTGGGAGAGATTTGTGGGAACAGATCTGGTAATCAGGAAGAATAAGTAGAGCATGCACGAGCAGAGGAAGAAATCAGACAAAAGATGAGAACTTAACTGGTCTTCCGTACGACTTGGCCTTATGGAGAAATTTGACCTATTCACGTTTGTAACAGCACAGTAAACCGGCAAAGAGCTACATTTTAATGGGCACTTAAATCATTTCACGCCTGCAGAACATCTTTGGTTTCAAAAGTGAAATATGAAATACAGCAAGCAAAGGAGGGAAAATACATTGCAGTTCCATTGGGTTTTGATTTGCAAAAACTCCCAAAAGCTAAGAAAATTTTAACAATAGTAGCAACAGATGGTTTCTTACTCTCTTCTTCCTCGCCCATTCACTAACCAAGCAATGAACTCCTTAGCAGCTTGACCTTCCAAGTAAGAGCTGATGTCACTGGTATAGGTGCCGTCAGCATGTCTCTCATATTCAGCATGACGCCGGGCAAGTCCATTACTAAAAGAAGAAGAGTTATTTGTTTAGACTCTTACCTCATTCCCGCTTTTCTTTCCCAGCATCTTCCCTCCCTCCCTTTATAATTAGTTTGAATATGTCCTTGCAATGTAGCATGATGAAGATATAGGAGAAAGGAAGAAGAAATGAGATATGCCTGTTGGACCACACATTTCCCAATGGCTGATGTTCCTGAGCAATCACTAAAGACTAGGAACAGGTTTAGCCCATACCTTACCAAAGGACAGTGGCAAAAGTGAGAGAAAAAAAGAAGTGAGATGCTCAGGCTGGGTGTCTTTCTGGAAAAAAAATGGGATTGTAGGTCTGTTAGAGAAGATGGGGGATAGCATCATATTTTGTCTTTTATGTATTGTCCCAAGACAATCTCCATGGGTACTCTTTCTTTGCAACCTACATAAAAAGTTATTTCCATTCTATGTAGAAAAGAGAAATGGTACCATTAGCAAGCTTACAGCAATGACAGCAGAACCTGCTCCCTGCATCTCTTGACAAGTTCTTAGATGCCTTAGATGACAAGGTTCCTGAAATGGGTTTCACTCCTTCCAGAAATTTTGCAGTACATAATTCCATGCTCAATATACACTACAGCAAGTATTCTGCTGGTATTCTTATAGCAGGACTTAAAAAAATTAGTACTCTAGTTATTTTTCTAAACAGACACATAGTAAAGGGATCATGCAATTACTTCCTGGTGAAATGATATATGACTCTCTGCCAAATCACATTCCATTTGCTTTCTCAAGTTTGTTTGGCTGCCCAAAATATCATGAGGTGATTGCCTGGCAAAAATTTTTCCTGGTATGTGAAAGGAAGATCCATTACAGGTCAAGAGCTCACTTGAAGGTCTCTAATAAAGAAAACCCAAGCACATTATTCGTAAGTCATAGTAGGTTCATATTATATACTGTAGGTGTTCACTAATACCTAACTTGGTAAACTTGTCATGGGAGCAATGAATCAATAACTTGTTAAGAGTTCATGTGTGTTTATGAGACATTGTTTATGCCTCAAGTATATATCCGCTTTGATCTCTTTGCAGACTCTGACTTAGGCTAATTTATGGCCATGGTGCACAGTTGTCCAGAATAAGATGTCTTTCTCAAGAGACAAATAGCTCTTGATGAAGATTAATGAGGCTTCAGATTAGAGAACAACTTACATGGCGGAAGGTTCATATGGTAAATGTAATACATAAAGTTCTGGTTTGGTGTTAGCTTTTTGAAAGTTTCTGTTTTCCAATCCATCCTCCAGATGACCTTCTGCTGAGTCAAAGGTGTTATAGATTCAGTGCCTCTCACCCCTTCATTTGACTTTGGATTTGATAGTTGAGGAAAAGACCAGGAGAGGGAGGTGGTTAGGGAAGCATTATTCCCAAGGAGTTGAATTAGCTGTAAGGCTGCTCTTTCCTAAGACATCAGAAATGCCTTGTATGTACTATGTGGTTCACACAAAATCTCCTTTCCCTCTTTGTCTTGTCCTCTTTCAATTCTCGATAAAGTTATTTGCATTGCAAATAACTGTATTTGTGTCCTTTTGGAATTTTATTAGTAAAGTAATTACTGCCCCAACTGTGTGGATTATATATATAAAAAAAAAGCTGGATGATGATGCCAGGTTTCACTCCATGTGTTTTAGAATCCTGTTTTTTTACTTTGTCAGTGACATATATACACAAATTTTCTTTCTTTCTTTCTTTCTTTCTTTCTTTCTTTCTTTCTTTCTTTCTTTCTTTCTTTCTTTCTTTCTTTCAGCAGGGACAGACAGAGTTGATGAGTATGTATGCATTTAATTCATACATAGCATATTAGTTTCTGTTTTGTGTGTATTCCATTTGGAATTGTTGATGTAAACCTGTATAAAATTCTGTAAAACTTTTGACAAAGGATTCCTTTACACATTATGTGTTTATCAAATACAACAAGTATAAATGTAAAGAAGTGCTCATGGCAAACATATTATACAGATACACATTGGGGTCCTGGCAATAGTTCTCTGCAGCACGTACACAGTGGATGAGAAGCACTGTGCAACATTCCAGCATTTGTCTCTCCATCATGTGTCATGTAGCAATACATTGTGATCATCTGAGAGAACATATTTGCAAAACGAAGGTGTAGATGGTTGTTGAAGCCAATTTAACTTGTACATGCCCAAAGTATAATACTTGGTAACCTGGGCTATGTGCTAGGAAAGGAGTTACCTCAGGGGTGGCGTATATACTTGACTGCAGGAGGTTAAAGATTCAGAGCACTTCCAAACGGGGTTGGGCGTCACTCCCAGATCAAAGCTGTGATTGTACACCTTCCTTGACATTGGGCAACTGAAATGATTTATATCCAGCTGACGTATGGCTCAAATGCCAATGGCAAAACTTCTGTTCTGCAAGTTACAACACTGGTGTTCTGCAGAGCTTGGTGGGTGGGAGTGGGGGAGGTACCATTCTCTCATTGGCAGCGGCTCCCACCAATCTCTGCTTTCTGGCTTTCTTTCCTCTCCACAACCTTAATGCCACCATGTCCTTGCACTGGACTTCAGCAGAGCACTGGGGTGGATTTTCAACTAATGAATGTTTTTTGTTTCATTTTCTTGCATCACAAGAATAAATGTGGCAAGGGAAGAATTGGGGGCAGGGGGAGGGCTCGATCTAGATACCAGCTTTTGCACTTTCCTATTGCTTGGCTGGAGAAAGTCTTAGTTGGGTCATCTAGAATTCTCAGTGGCGGTAGAGAGGACTATCTTTATTAAATAAATAGGCAAGCAAGCAGAATATAGACCATAAAGCTGTTTTCCACTACCTAGGACCACTGAGATGTGGAATTCAGCTCCTAACATCTACTTGCTAATACTTGCTAGAAACTGGGAGTTAGTCCAACTCATCTGGAGGGCATCTTGTTGACGAACGCCACCCTAGGGAGCCACTGCTGATCAGAATACATTATGCTGTGCTAGATTGAATAAGGTAATTTCCACTATAAGAATCGTGTTTCTAGACTGAAGTATGACTGATTGGAATTTGTTTATTTGATCTCCCCCCCCCCAGATTCACTTGACTGAAGTAGCATAAAAATGCAATAAATGAATAAAATGAATAAATGTTCATCATCAGTGTCACCAACTTAGGCAGTGCCATCAACCATTGAGATAATTTTTGTCCAGATGCCCCTTTTCCCCCACTACATAATCAGACAGCCACCGTCAGGGCTGGCAAAGGCAGGTCTTTATGTGCACCTGTATGCTGCAAACATCTCTGGAATAAAGCCAGAAGTTTTAGGAATGTGCCAATATAGTTGCAGTTAAGGCATCAGCTTTTCCCAGGCTTTAAAAAAACTGGCCCAGTCAAGTCAGCTTATGATCTATTTTTGTTCCATCCCCTGCATTACACAATGTATCTTAACTTAAAATACCTTGAGAGCTGGTCCAGGAAGTTTTCTTTCTCTCTGTCTTCAAGTCCTTGTTGTCTGTGGCAGAGACCCATCGCAATTATTAAAATGGCATTTACACAAGTAGAAAAAGACATACTATATCCTTAATTAAACATTTCTGTGATATTTAAATGACAAGAATAATTTTTGGATAAGAATCCCATATATGAATCCTATCACTTCTGCATTTTATTCCAGACAGACTGTAAACATTTTGTGTTTTATTAGCTACAATATTTATGCTTGGAGTAAACTTAATTGATCAATCAATCTATCCTGTAGTTAGGAATATTCAGGCTTATAATGTTTTTTCTAGATTAGAACAGCTACCAAAAAACAAACAAAACAAAAATAAAAAAACAAAAAAACCCACAATACATAAGAGCTTTAATTCCCCTTCTCTGACACATAGTTTACTCTCTATAATAAAATGAATATCCAAGGAAAATGTCAAAACTGACAAAAATGTTATAACCTAAACTTGGAATTAAAGAATGAAATCATTTTCTGACTGAAGACATACTTGTTTCCATTTTCAAACCGTTGTTCAGTTGCTCATATGTAACTTATTATTGAGTTATTCATTATTTCACAATTTAGTCCCTCCTGCAATACATTTGAATAAACTGACTTATTATTAACCAAGTCATATAATTGCTTAATCTGTACTTAATCAACCACTTTTCCAGCCTGGTGGTGGTGACCAAGTCTTGAATGAACTTTTGTGAACTGTTTGCCATGATCATAGGTTGAAAGTTTGTTCGCAACCATTTCCTCTATATTGTAGATTTCTTATGAGAAGTAATTGTTCCAAATGATTGAATGATCCATATTCAATGAACATGGAATGCTGGAAAATACCAAAAAACAGCCAACCAGAAGATGTTGGTTCTGTGAATCAGTTTGAACAAAGCTTCTCCCCTAGAATTGTTCCGACTTCTTCTCTTATTGATCCTTAAAACCAAATAATGGTTCTAAAGCAGACACTCATCTTGTAGTGGATTTGTCCAAATAACATATTGAGGATAAGACTATTACTTACTTATTTCATGAACCACTCAAAAGGGACAGTATAATCCCATCTCTGCTAAATATATATTGAAAATGTCAGAGTGTAGAGGTTCTGATACAACCATGGACACTAGGAGCCAGCTTGGGCCGATAGTGTGCATTTGTACCTCATTAGGAAATCCCTACCATCAAACCACAGTTATTCCATACTCAGGGATTTGGCACTCCCAATTTCATGTGTTTTTTACTTATTTGCAGAAGAAATAAGAGACCAGGGATCAAGTCAGCAATCTAAATTAAGAGAAGGCAACTCACTACAATTCCCAGTTCTCTTATCATTGGCCATCTGACTGGGGCAAATATGAACTGAAGTCCAAAACATCTGAAAGGCAACAGATTTGATGCACTGGTCTGCATACATGGGGCTGTGATCTATTCAGGAGGAATCCTTTCAATCTTTCACCAAGAACATGCTGGGAACTGGGAACTATTTACTGGGAATCTGTCCCCACTTGCCACTGGACATGCTGCTGGGGACTATGGTCCCACATACCTGGAGGGCACTAGGTTGGAGAAATAATGATGCAGAATGATGGCAGGGAGGTCCCAATAATCAACTCAGCCACAATGACAACCTTTTATTAATTCAGCTTTATTTAATTAATTGATAATGGCCAATCACTTCCCTCCTGTTGCCAAGAAAAATGCATGGACAAGTCCATGTGGTCAACAGGACAACTATAAGGAATTTGACTTAGGGAAACTCAAAGAAGATTTTTAAACCAACATCTAATTAAGGCATTGAGATGAAACAATTGTGTTGCTGAAACTGAGAGAAGACATAAAAGAAGCAAAATAATATACACGATAGTGGAAAAACAATGGAGGATGAAGTATTTGGACAACAATGAACCAAATACTGATGAGTGAAACAGCAAAGTACCAAATTACTTTGACTGGCAGCATTAGAAATGATGAATGAAACAAACATCTGAAGAGGTGGGAAAGAAAATTAAAATCCACAAACTGTACATTTAATTTCAGGAGTTGCAAATAGCACGTTATTCTTAGTTCTAGTAATATAGTCTACCACAGAGGTTCCTCAGGCTATAACTTAAGGAACTTTGACATGGCCTGGAAATGTCCCTAGGATCCTCAGTTAAGATCAATAATGGCAGATCTCTATATCATATTAGTAGTTCATGCTGGGCAGTAGTGTGGCCCAAGAACCTTGTCTGGTGTCTACATGAGCAGAGAGGATGCTGGGGAACAATCCCAGGATTCTCTTGGGCAAGAACCTCGTGGAAGGAAAATTAGCTTCCTCTAATTGTGCATGGAGCTTGGTTTTAAGAGCTCTATATATATGCCAGGGCAGAAATAAGATTCAGAGGGCCCAGCAGAGTTCAGTGATAGAGCAAACACTTTTCATTCCATCCTTAATTCAGTCTAAGACATCTCTAGTTATAAAGGTCATTTAGCAGCTGATAGAAAATGCACCTGCTCAAAATCCCAAAAAGTCATTGTTAGTCTGAATGCATCATGCTGGGATGGGTGAGCCAGTTTAGTGTTCTAGTTTAATAGACCTTTCTTTTAGGAGAAAGGCCATACCATGGGGTAGACATATGTTTGACATATAAATTGGCCCCATATGAAAGACTGGAAAAACAATGCTACAATATGACAACATTCAGTGTTCTAGATTGTAACCCAAATGCTGTATTGTATTACTAAATTCCAGTATATGTTTCATACATACCTTGCTCTGCTTGAGAACGATACACAGCCAGTTCAATTGTCTTCTATTAAAACTCAAGCAGGTTATTAACTTGAGCCTACATTTGAGTTAGAACATTTGGGAAGCTTTTTCAATCAATTCTTTAAAATGATACTCTTTCAGAAATAGTTTCATTAAGACCATTTTTTTGCCATTCTTCTGATAGAACTCTGATAAAATACATTTTAGGACAGTGGTTATAAACTATTGGGGAGCATATCTGTGTGTATATACCTGCATGTATAAAATAAAGGATCATGAATATACTGAGCTCTGAAAAAAATCTACCAAATTGGAACAATAGGCATTAAAATAGCAAATACTATTTTTTTATATACAATTATAGCACACAAGTCAGTGTGATATACGGTAAAACTCCTCACCCTATCTACATTATCCTGTTATTGACTAGGAAAAGGATGTTGTGATCAACCAGTGTGTGGACATTGTGGAAAGGATAAATTCTATGTTAAGGACCATCTGAAAATTGTAACTATGAGTCCCACAGTGCCAATATACCCATTTATGATGATGCCACCATACTTGGAATGCTGTGTACAGTTCTAGCCACTTCACCTCAAAAAGGATATTTGGGAAAAGCTGGGAAAAGGTGTTTTAATTTTATATTCTCACTCACTAGTTCTTCCCTAAACAGAATACACCCACACAGCACACTTGGCTAATTTTCATGCTCTAAGAAAAGCCATTATAGAATAGACTGGTACAGGCTAAATTATGTCTTAGCAAGCTGTGAAAAAGCTGTGAAAAATGTGAATTCTATGTTAGAGATCATTAGGAAAGGGGCTGAAAAATAAAACTGCCAATGTTATACTGCTTTCATAAAAATCTATTGTGCAGTAGTTTGGGCTGCTAGAATCCCAAAATGTCACAGTAACACTGAGGAAGTTGGAGGAAAGACTGACTAAATGATCAAGGAGGTGGAGTCCAATTCCCTAATGCAGAAAAAATGGCAGAATTTGTTTGTTTTTAAGTCACGCACAACTGAACTTTGGCCATGGTATGAGGAAATGGACTCCCCCCACCCTGCCTGCAGTATTTCAACTGCAGAACATCCAGTGAAACTGAATAGTATAAAACTTAGGAGAGATCAAAGAAATTCTTCTGTGGAATTTTTCTTTTACCAGAGATTGATAAAAATCACGGCCAACAATTTGGCTAATTGTATCAAAGAACGCTATTCATAATGGGTACACTGTATATGACTTCCAATGTTATAAACGGTCTGTTTCTAAATTCTAGGGGTGAAGGTGAACTAGAAGTCCCCAAGCTTATGAGAATTGCTAAGTCAACATGCCCAGTCTTTCCTGATAGCAGTGAAGAGAACAGCCCAATATCCATTGACTTGGAAAGATGGCAGGAAAAGCTTAGGATTTTAACCCTGGAGGACTGACCTATAAATAGGTGCACTTGCTATATTCTGAAGCAGGCAAATCTTCTCTGTATCTATAGCCTCATTCTTGTTTACAATGAAGAAACTAATCATGCCACTAGAATAAGATTTCTACCAAGAAGCCAGTTTCTGAACATGGAGTTAAAGGCCTAGAAAGATTTAGCACAAAGTCTGATATAAAGTCTGACAGTTGCTGGGTTAAAGAATCCTCTTAAAGTCTGCTTGGCCTTTGTGGGAGAAAAACATACCAGAGTAGTTAAGCCTTTACTTTGAACCAAGAGGGTTGTTATGTTTTTAATTTGCAGTTGAGTGTGTGGGTGTGTATTTGTATATGTAACTCCTAATGCAATGTTTTCTGATGTAGTATATTGTTATTTGGAGATAAAATCAGTGAAGTGGAATGTATATGTTTATATTGTTTTATATGAAAATCTGTATATATTTAGCAGTTAATATTTCAGATATACTGATTACAAAATGGTGTTAATGGGCTTACAGTATAAGCAATACACTTTGCTTCAGACCATAGGAAAACTGAACTGAATGGGAGTTTATGGCTTTAAACTAATCCCTAAATTACGTGAAATGTAACTACCTTGAAACAAACTTTAAACTCTAATAGTCAATGCCATTTTGTATAACAACGGACACTATGTCTAAGAGGAAGGCTGAATAATTTGAGCTGCTGTACCTGGTCTAAGGTATATAAAGCTGAAGAGTAAGTTCTCCATGTCCTAGCAGTGCAGTGTTCAGATTAAGAACTAGTGATGCTTATGTCAGAATTGACAACATAGCCCTCCCTCAAACAGGTAAAGCAGCCTTTACTAAGCTTCAGCCTTCTAGAAGGCTTGGACTTCAGATCCTATAACACTCCACTCCGAATGGTGGTAACAGAGGGCTATGGGAGATGAAGCTGAACACATCTGGGGAGCACCAGGTTGGGAAGGCTGTGCTACCATCACATAACTTGCACTCATGAACCACATGAAAGTCTACTTGTATAGCATTGAATTCCACCCTTTACGGCCCATGTACACTGCTGCTTTTTTACTTTTCTAAGTTTACAGCCAATAATATAAGGCCTTATTTAACCCAATCTACGTAAATCCCAACTCATGTCATCAAGGAGACACGCTATGTCCCACCAAAATGTGAGTACCTTTACTTGGGCTAGTGAACAGAGGATATGTCCATCAGAATATTTTCTTACCTACTGCCCTTTCTTATATATGGAAGTTGCACATATGGACAGTAGCCACTATTGCATAATCCCCATTTATTTTAGTGAATGCTCATAATCCTTCATTAACTAATATTTGTGTTTTTCACATTGAAATGTACCCAATATTCAAATGTTAGGCTAGAGAATGAGAAAGTGATGCACGTGAAGAAACAGTTCCTGGGGTGACTCTGTAATATATACAGATGTCACTATTTGTCCTGACTCCAGAATAGGATAGGTTGCAAAATTAGAATGAATGGATGGATGAACAGATGGATTGATGGAAGACTTTGGATGAACAGATGGATGAACGGATGGATGAATAGTGAAGCTCTTAAGTCTTGCTTAAGTTCTGTGAAGCTTGTGCAAAACTTAATAAGCTAAAGAGTATCTGTTCATATATTTCATCATGCCTTTCTTTGAGTTTATATGTTATCAAGTATTTTGTGTGAATTTATTTCCCAGTGAGGCAGTTTATAAGGGGTTGGGGTTGGGTGTCCATTTTGCTTACCCGCTTCTTTTAGTGTTCATTAACCACTGTACAAAATCTTGAGCTCGTCTCGTGTCCAAGTACTTGCTGTAATCGCTGGTGAATGTACCTTGTGAGTGGCGTTTCACTTCATTCAGCTGTCTAGGGTCATCTAATGGTTCAGCCTGGGAAGCTTTGAATGATCTATAAGTGTGGTTTGTAACAAATTAATTGCACTGAAGATTGCACATTTGAAAGGTGCTGCACTGTGCATCGACCTCCTTCAAAGATAGAGATGCATTCTAAAAATAACTGCTATTAGAAAGGGTCATTAGTCGCCTAATTACTACTCAGTAACAGGAGAAATAGATGCTGTTTAGACAACAATAAGAACTACGGAAAGAATTAATAACTTGACAGGCTCTGGACTTATCCAGTTTTCAAAGGAAGAAAAAAAAATAGCGTTAGTCTCTTAAAAGCATTTCCATTTCTGTTTGCCCTCTGATATAAGAACAATCCATTGGCCACATTTAGGTTACTACAACTTTAAGCATTCTGACATTTACCTGGATTTCTCTTCTGTATCTTGAAGGGGGCTTTGCCAGGTGCTTTGAGCGATCATTAAAAGCAATCCAGCAACGAGGTACCAAAGTCTTTTCATTTCTGTTACCTGTGGACAAGGATGGAGGAAACAGAGTCAGTGCAACTTACTTCCACCCCACTTGTATATACAGGTGATCCACCTGTAGTCTGACCTCAAGCCGTTTAAGGTTGATTCAAGCATCATGTTGTCATATTGAAGCCACCCAAGCTGCACAGGAAGCAAACTTGTAGTAGATCGCGCTATCCACTCTTCTAGCTCAATACTGCATACTCAGACAGCCAACTCTCTGGGTAGCTCTCTTTCCTATTCCATGATACCTGATCCTTTTAACTAAAGATGCTGGGAACTTGGTACTTTCCACTGGCTAAGCCATGGTGACAACAATCACAACCATATGACGAATCTTCATGCTAGGCTCTGTAGTCTTGGCAGTTATCAGCACAGAGTAAAGCCTTCCTATCCAACATCTCTAAATGCCACCTTAAGGCAACATGTTTTTTTAAAAAATTTCCAAGGACTCCTTATCAGCCAACATAGCTAACGGGGGGGGGGGAAGAGAGGGGAAAATCCAACTAGATTAAATATCTAACTTGACAGTGGGTTTCAAATATTATAATATCAAGAAAAAAATATCCAGTCACAATGGATGCAATGCATTATCATTACATAACCACCAAAATCAGTTAGACAAGTTTTCCTGCATTTAGGAATTCAGCACTAGCCTGCCTTTGTGTGAAATAAAGCTGCTTACCTATCAGAAAACTGTGAAGAGATGGAGAGTGTGACAGAATACAAACTATTTGGTTTCCATTTCTTCTGCCTCCAAGCAGTAAGACTCCAAACAGAATTTTCATATCCTCTTGAATGCCAAATGCTTTCTCTAGCTTGCTATAGATTACTACCAACAAGAAGCAAAACTTAGCAAGAGGTGATTGCATCAATATAAATTGCATTCATTTAAAAGAAATGAAACTGGAGTATATCACTCTTGGCTGATTTATGCTTTTTTAGTTTCAGTAGACCTTAGCTGTGACTTTTTGCTAGTTTATTTCATATACTAGGCTCTGTAATTATGCATTGCACACACTGCTATCAATGTTCACATTCTCTTTCTTCTCACCTTCAGTTATAGTGCTCAATTCTGGTTTCATTTCCTGGTGTCCTTTAGTGGTGCAATGCTGCCTCCCAGCGCTGCTTTATAAGAGGGCATTTTCTTTCTTTCTTTCTTTCTTTCTTTCTTTCTTTCTTTCTTTCTTTCTTTCT